CCAAATGGTAATCAAACTATTGCTACTCACTCTGGTTCTGTTAAACTATCTGATCACATCATTCTCAAAGATGCTCTATATGTGCCTAGTTTCAACTTCAATCTCATATCTGTGTCCAAACTTGCTGCTACCAACAATTGTTCTGTTCAATTTGCCTCATCTCATTGCATATTACAGGACCTATCAACTCATCAAGTGATTGGTTCTGCTGAAATCAAAGATGGCCTTTATCACCTCTCAATGAATACTGTATCAAACTGTAATAGTTCTCAAAGTGTAATTTCTCATTCAGCTGCCATTGTACCTTCTACTTTACCTTTACCTGTAAATGTTGCATCATCTACATCTGAGAACTCTGCCTTATGGCATTACAGACTTGGCCACCTTTCTTTCAATAAATTGCATACTTTACCCATGTGTACATCAAAATGTATTCCCACTGTCTCCACACCTTGTGATGTTTGTCAATTTTCTAGACAAAAGAAACTTCCTTTCTACAATAGCATTTCAACTTCACATCATCCTTTTGAATTAATCCACTGTGATGTATGGGGTCCTTTTTCAACTATATCTCATTCAGGCTACAAATATTTTCTTACAATAGTGGATGACTTCAGCAGAGTAACATGGATATATCCTTTGGTTCATAAATCTGATACAAAAACTCACCTGATTCATTTTTACAACATGGTTACCACTCAATTTGATATAAAAATCAAAACAATAAGATCTGATAATGGCACTGAGTTTCTACTTCATGATTTTTATTCTCAACATGGCATCATACATCAAACCAGTTGTGTGGAGACCCCCCAACAAAATGGTAGGGTAGAAAGGAAACATCAACATTTATTGCAAGTTGCTAGAGCATTAATGTTTCATGCACATCTTCCTTTACCATTCTGGATTGATTGCATTTTAGCTGCAGCACACATTATAAACAGAGCACCATCTACTGTGTTGAACAACATATCACCTTTTCAAAAACTGTTTAACAAAGAACCTACTTATGATCACTTGAAAGTTATTGGTTGCCTCTGTTATGCATCAACTTTATCTGCTCACAGATCAAAATTTCATCCTAGAGCTTCTAGATGCATACTTCTTGGGTACCCACTTGGTTGTAAAGGATACAAACTTTACAACTTGGATACCAAGAAAACATTAATATCCAGAAATGTAAAATTTTTTGAAGATGTCTTTCCTTTCAAACACCCTGTGCAACCTGATTCTCATTTATTTCCTGAACCACAACCCACTATTTTTGACTCCTATATCCAGCTGCCTACTACTCAACATAACTTTATTACCCAACAAATACCTACTACTCAACAAACACAACCACAACCCCCTGTTACAACTGCAGATACAACCATTATAACTCCTACAGGGCCTCTAAACCCCAATTTTCAGACTTCTACACCTACACATATTCCCCTCAGAAAATCTACAAGATCAAAGAAACCACCTGCATACTTAGACCTATATGACCACTCTATTCCCTCAGCCACATCTTCAAATTTAACATTTTCTGGGACAACACCTCATCCAATTTCACACTATTTGTCCACAGCAAATCTATCTACATCTCATCACTGCTTTGTTGCATCTCTGCATCAACATATAGAACCTAAGACATATGCTCAAGCTGTAAAGAACCCTTTATGGCAAGAAGCAATGCAAAAAGAACTGACTGCCCTTGAACAAACCCACACTTGGGAACTAACTAATCTTCCCCAAGGTAAACACTGTATAGGGTGTAAATGGGTTTACAAGGTTAAGTATAAATCTGATGGCACAGTGGAAAGGTACAAAGCTCGGCTTGTAGCCAAAGGCTATACTCAAGAAGAGGGTATAGACTACTTTGATACCTTCTCCCATGTTGCTAAAATAACAACAGTCAGATTTCTCATTTCTGTAGCATCTATTAAACAATGGCATATCCATCAATTAGATGTAAATAATGCATTCTTACATGGAGATTTGAATGAAGAAGTATACATGACTCCTCCACCTGGTTATTGCACAAACTCTGATACTAGGGTGTGTAAATTAACCAAAAGTCTATATGGCCTTAAACAAGCCTCCAGACAATGGTTTCAAAAATTAACTTCATGTCTTCTCAAATATGGTTTCAAACAATCCATGGCAGACTGCTCATTGTTTACTCTTTCCACAGATTCATTCTTCATTGCTTTACTTGTATATGTTGATGATGTCATAGTATGTGGTAATAATATGGCTGCTATAACTGCTATCAAAAATCATCTACATGCTCAGTTTACAATCAAAGATCTTGGTCAGTTGAAATATATTTTGGGTCTTGAGTTTGCCCATTCAGAATCTGGTATAAACATGTGTCAAAGGAAATATGCCCTTGACATATTAACTGATACTGGTTTTCTAGGATGCAAACCTGCATGCACACCTATGGACCCAACCATAAAATTAAAATCTTGTTCTGATTCTGACACTTTGACTGATCCCACTGAGTATAGAAGATTGATTGGTAGGCTGTTATATTTAACCATTTCCAGACCTGACATTGCATTCAGTGTTCAATGCTTAAGTCAATTTTTAAGCAAACCAACAACATTACATCTATCTGCTGCCCACAGAATCCTCAGGTATATCAAAGGTACTGCAGGTCAAGGTATACTCTTTCCTAGAACTTCTTCTTTAAATCTCATTGCATATTCTGATAGTGACTGGGCTGGTTGTTTGGACACAAGGAGAAGTATAACTGGTTTTACCATTTTTCTTGGAAATTCTCTTATCTCCTGGAAATCCAAAAAGCAGCCCACTGTTAGTAGATCTTCTGCTGAGGCAGAATATAGGGCTTTAGCCTCTACTGCTTGTGAGTTACAATGGTTACTTTATTTGTTTGATGATTTTTGTTTACCACACTCATCCCCTGCTATTGTCTACACAGATTCTAAGTCTGCTATGGCAATGGCAGCCAACCCAGTATTTCATGAAAGATCCAAACACATAGAGCTTGATTGTCACCTTATCAGGGAAAAGATCACAGCTGGGCTTCTCACACTTCAGTACATTCCCACCAAGGAGCAGATTGCAGATGCCCTCACTAAACCACTTCAAGGCCCACTTTTCTTATCCCTCATATCCAAGTTTAATGTGCATAACATCCACATTCAACTTGCGGGGGGGTAATAATATATACTGTATTTTACCAATTTATCCTTTGTAGTTAATAGCAATGTACATAGTTGTTATTTGAGATTAGCAACTTTAGTTTTATCCCTTATGTATAAATAGGACACAACCCTCACATTGTAACCCTAGTTTTTGTTCATTCTTTCATTCTCACCGCAATACCAATCTTTCCCTTTCATTTTGCTCAATGTATCTCTGACTTCTGATCTTCGATTCATGTTGATACGGGAGCTTGATATATCACGAGCTAGATATATTTATCCACTGGTGCGAGGAAAACAATAACACATTGTTTTTTGTGCCTTTTTTTTTTTTTTGATCAATTTATATGCACCACTCTTGGTAAGAACTAATTCAGGTTAACTAATGAAATAATGTGAATCTTCGAAACAATCTCTAAACAATGATTTACACAGCATATCCAAGTTACATATATCTAGAATTTGAGCTTATTAAATTACAAGTAATTTTAAGACAACTGCATTGATATTAGGGTGTATTAATTTGGTTAGCTTTAAGTCAACAAAGCACCTAAAAATTACATAATTAACTAATTCCTACAAGCTAATAATCCATATGTATTATTGTTAATATTTGTTATATTAATCCACCTGCAAAGGTTGATTAATTATTACGTACATAAGTTATTGGCCAAACATATAGGATCAGCTAATAGCCTTACAGCCTTCGGATAGCTCCCTTCTCCTAATTCACAAGATACATTAATGGGGGATTACTCAGAAAAGTTACGTTGACATCTTGTTTAATAACTGAAAATTTCAGTTCTCTCTAAAAAATTTAAAAATGCTATAATATTAATACATGATTTGTTTTATCTCTTAAAATTTAATAAATACTTTAATAATAATACATGATATCGTTTTAAAGTTGATTTTAATATGAAATTTATTTATATATGTTTAGCATTTTCACAATTTAATAAGGGATAGACAAATAGTATGGCTTCCTAATAGACTAACCTATCAACACCCCAAAAAATTCTATGGAGTCATCCACCACTTAATGTATTGACACATGTCCAAATTGTATTTATTGCAGGACACGTGTCAATACACTATTGATAAATAAGTTTGAATGACTCTATAAATCGAACCATCCGATGGCTCCATAGCAAAACTGTCAACACCCCCACCGAATATTGGTGTAGCAAGACTATTGTTATGGGGGTCCAAGATTTAGGTAATTGTATTTTTTTAATAGATATGTGTATATTCGAATTAATATGTACAGAAACAAAAATTTGATATTTCACA